TTAGTCGGGCTAAGTCTTCTTTCATGTGATCCTATTTTCCATATCATGGGTCAGTTTGTCTTCCTTTGAATGCATCTTTGCAGAACATCAAACAACTACTGTTTAGAGAATCAACAGTGCTGAAAAATCTGGCCATCAAAATCTTTAGCGTTTTGAGAGCACAAAATGGGGTTTCATTTGTGAAACCTTTAGTATGACTGTTGTAGCCAAGCTAACATGGACAATCCCTACAGGATGTGGATATTGACTTCCCTATAGATGAACCATGCATCCTGACTGCCAACATGCACTGTGCTCTATAATTCCCCACAGGCCAAAGAGTGCACAGGGTCTATTGGCTGTACTTAGTACTTTGAACTATTACATGTATAATATACACATACGGACTGGCACATCTGTGCACCCAGAGGGGCTCTTCGTGACCAGAAGATGGCCTTATTGCATGCACTAGCCTAAATTATTGAACCCTGCTTGTCCCTTTGTCAACCAAGAATAAAGAACCAATAAAAGGTGTCTGTGTTAGAAAAGTTTAAATAACTGAGTCTACATTGCTAATATTGCATGGATGTTTGCCCACGATGTGGCTCCATTCACTACGCAGTAAATTCTAAAGATGCATGAACGTTGGTCGCCAAAGTAGCCTGTTTACTAATTGTCCTTTAGATGCACCCGTAGGATAGTGAGTAGCCATCTGCCGGCCAAACAGTGAGCTATTGAGTCTTTGTGAGGTAGCCATCTTGCAGGGCAGTTCTATTGTTCTACAGTGAAACCTGTAGAACAAAAGCACTTACCTCAAAGATGGCAGCCATTGCAAACTCTCTATTATTGAAAAGCATGATTGAATCCTGGTTGCATCTATCTCCTACCTGCTCATAGGCATGTTTAGAGGAGTACAGTTTTGACACCACCAAAGTTATTCACGCCATCCTGGAGGACAAACTGGTACCTGGACTCCAAGAACTGGATAAAACCATGGCCAGGTAGGGAGCCTTGGAGCTACTATATGCCATTTCTAGGACCTGACTAAGCCAATCTGTAAACATTGTTTTCTTATTAAAGCTTTCTGTCAAGTATGGGATCACATGTGATGTATAATTTTGCCTTGAGCATTGTGAAAAGAAGTGTGCTGGATTCATTTGTAAGGGGTGGGGCTTAATGGCATTGAGGGAGGGGATTCTTGTTGAAAACCATTGCAGCTAATGGAGTTTCCCCAATGCTGTGTTACCCACAGTCGTTCCACAGAGTAATATTTGGGTTGTGTGAGAAAGGGTTATGCAAAGACCAAATTAGTCTCTGTCGTCTCCTGTTTTGAGTAAAGACCGCATCAGACATCTTGCTTCATTCGTATTTTACATCCGAGATGTTTTCAAGATAGAGAATATACAGTCAAGCCCAATGTCAACACTTCCAAAGATAATCAAAGCAAACCACTTCTGATGAAATGTTGAGTGTTTACAGACTTCTCAAAAGGACTAAATCTCTAAGAGGACTCTTATTATTGAAAACTGTATGTGTTTACAGTTAAAAACTTGTAAAACCCAATTAGACAGCAGTCTCATATGGCCTACAGATTGATAGTTTAGTAAATTCTTGAGAGTTTTAAGGTGCTCGTGTCTTGTTGACAGGACTGCAAAGCCCCAGGCTGCCATGAAGCCAGGAGGCAAGGATGTGACACCTGCTGGTGAAACTTCCTTATTGCAGCAACGCAGCAACATCTTCCAGAATGATGAGTTTGATATCTTCAGCAGAGACACGGTGGACACCAGCAGAATTCACAAGGGAAAGAGGTAGGCTTAAACGGGCAGAGCATTGGGCGTTTTTGAAACGACTGGATTTGGCTTAGACTTTGGTTTCACTGGTTCCATCCATTTTGAAGCAGCGTTAGAAACCACATGTTCAAGCTCCGACAGGAAGCAGCAAAACCAAAGTCTTAGCCGAATCCACTTGTTTCAAAAATGCCCGTAGAATTCTTAAATCCAGTTGATTATCAGAGCTTACCAGTATTTAGTCAAGACTTCATAAGACCATCACAAAAACCATCACAAAAACCCTAGAAGACAGTCCTCAGACCAACGTAAGACTTCCAGTCTGAATTCCAATCACAAGCTGCAACAGTAGCATTCCTTTGTCATTCTTCACCTTGCTAATTGTAACTGGTCTTGTGTCTGGTCTTGTGATATGTGGTCTAAATTACAACACTGGGGTGTACTGACCAAAACATCAAGTTCACAAGATAAGCGTCTTTTTAGAATGACCTATCTTACAAACGAGATTGACTGACGCACTTCTGCCTCCAAACTGTGTACAATTTGTCCTACTGCACTGTGTAAATCTTCAAATCCTATCGCAGCATTCTCACCCATAACCGTCTCAAGAACCTAGATCCCACTGTTTAGTGTGTTAGGCTCCATTGTTTTGGTAAAAATCATGTCTGTAAACTTGTCCAGCCTGAGAAAGGCACTCAGCTACTGTAGTGATGCCTACACAGAGTTCATTTTGCAGAAAGATTCTTCTGTAAAAGATATTTCTATGTGATCGTTCTCAGGGATGATAGGTTGAGTGATCAGAAATTACAAAAGGATAAGACCCATCTGGCTAGACTGGTGTCGAGCTGTGAGGAGTATAACTACGAGTATGAAGACGAGTATGATGACACGTACGATGCTAACGATGTAGGAGCTGATGACGCAGATTCTGCTGATGAACTGACTTCAAGAAGGTACTAACTTCCTTAACCCTAACCTTCCCCAACCACACAGAATTAAACAGTAGTAAAGTGGTTAATTTTGTGGGGATAGGTGTGGTAGGCCCATAACAGCTGGCTTTTGCATTGGGTTTGGCATACCTCAGAGAAACAAAGTCCTACAGCCTCTGCGCACAAAGTCCCATATGGGTGTTTAACTTGGTGTGAATGGGGAAGGTTAGGGCCAGCAACCCTTGGGGGGTTAGGGTTAATGACCCATGGCTTTGAGGTTTTCTGTAATATTTGCTCTTCTGAAGCCTCTTAAATGACAGTTTTGGGGGAAGTTCGGAGAGATAAGCACAAGGTCCATTACTTGAAAAGAGGCTTTAAGTTCAAATTTGATTTGATTTTGCCTTCCATGGTGTTTGTTCTCTGATGTTTTGTACCTCGAATGTCTGTCTTCCACACCCATGCTTTTTGACACAGTCCCCTTTACCCTTTGCCCCTTCATCCAGCCACCAGCTTTCTCATCCTTTCTGTTTGTCCTCCTGCATCCCTCCATGCTTGGCTGATTCCTTGCTTGCTTGTCTCTGTCCACTTGTCACTTTGCCTTTGAGAAAGATTCTGCTAGGATCGAAACGTCAGGCCCTCCTACGCTTTTGATTTGTATTTGAGGTCACTGTAGCCAGCAAGAAATTTGCAGCAGTTTGATTATTTCAAGACAATTTCAGTTGGTGTCTGTATTTTCTAGGATTGAGGGCGCTCTTGTGTTCAAAACAAGGGAGTTAAGGTGAAATCAATTGACAAGCTAGCATCTAGAAACCCAACGATCCAGGTGGGGTCATCATTGGGGGTTCCGTTTAATGGCTGACCAACTTCTGACAAAATGACAAATTTTATGTGCCACAGGATAATGTGCAAACACATAAATTGTTGCCAACTACGATTAAAACATGCGTCTACTGTGGTAAGTGTATTGCATAACATGCACACCAACTATCAAAAGACAGATTTGTTTCTTCATTTTGTTTGGCTTTCAGACCATTTATGGTACCCAGGGTATTGAGAGGAGGAGAAGAAAGTAGCTCTGGGGAGGAGGACGATCAGGTAAGGATGACATTTTGCCTTTTGTCTGTAATTGTGGGTGTCAAAGTTGAGTTGGGTCATTTGAAGTAGGGTCCATGCATTGGGTATCTTAGAGATAAGACCCAAAAAGGTCCAAGGCACATTGCAATCTTGAAATATGGCCTTTGTTCAGGTTCGTGTCTGGCTTCACTTTCCTTTTGAATCACCAACCATTGGAAAATTCCTAAGTTTGGACCTCATCACGTTCACCGTATTTTTTTTACACGTGATAATTCCGATTTCAACTTCATAACCTAGGCAACATTCACAAGTACTTGACCCGCTCAGTGACAGAAAAACTAGTCCATGCCCTCATATCGTCTCATTTGGATTTTTGTAATTCCTTGCTTTGCCAGTTACCTGGCAATCAACTCGCTTGACTTCAAAGACTCTAAAATCCTGCTGTTTGTATTGTGACTCTAATTCCAGAGCTTACATTACCCTCCTTTTTGCAGTCCCTACACAACGCACAAGTTGTTACTGGTTTATCATTGTTTACATCGATTCCACTTCCAAGTACAATGTCAACTTGTTAACCATGTACAACCCACCTAAGCAAATAAGATCTTCAAATGCCTGTTTGCTATTCATGATACTCAGCATTCATGGGGTAATCGATCTCTTCCAAATGGAGGTCTTCATCGTTGGTATGAATTACGTTCCAATATTCATCCTGTCTCTTCTGTCTCTGACTTCAAAGTTGCCTGGAAAACTCACCTTTTAACTGCTTTTGAATTTCATATCTGTTTGTTTTTGTTTCCCAATTGTTCTGCGCTATGAGCCTCTTTTGAGGTGGAAACCAACATGTTCTAGATATCCATTAGTCTTATCATTATTACATAGAGCTATTGGCCAACCCTAAAGAGGCCACAGACTGGTACCTCCACAATTAAGTTCAACTTTTCTCAGGCAAAGTTTGCATTCAGTAGTCAAATGGAATAGGGTGCTATGCTCTACACCAGTGTCCAAATATTTCGTCAATATTTCCCTCGACCCAGGATACAGAACCACCACCCCCAAATGAAACCAGAGACACACAGGCACCGCACAACAGACAGCATGCCAGTAGGGGTGGGGGACGCCGAGGGGGACTCAGTGATGCTGTGAAGGGTCAATCGAAGGGCCAAGGTCAGAGCAAGGAAACACAGCGAGCCAGAGGATTTAAGGACAGAAACAAGAGCAGTCGAGCGAACCACAACCGCAAAGCCATGGCAGACAAGAAAAGGAGTAAGGGAATGGGACCTTTGTCCTGAACAACTTGGGAGAAAACTTGAAATATATGTTAAGCACAGAAAAAAAAACAGGTTACCAGCTAAAATGGCCAAGCAGGTTCCTTGCTAATTTTGCCAATCTCTTGAAATTGACATACCACAGAAATAAACGCCAGCCAAATCATTCCATGGAAAGTTAACCTGTTAGCCATGCACAAACAGTCTGTTTTATTGAAATGAGACCAACAGACTTCATGACAAAACACTGAGTTGTGCTACGCAAACAAAACAACGGGCTGATGGACAATTGAAATGAGATACAAGAAAAACATTAATGTTTGGAAACAATATCTCAAGGTTCTTGATAAAAGTACAATTTACATTGATTTACATTGACACGAGTTCAGGATTGATCAGGTATGTGAAATACACCAAACAACTGTCATTTCTCGTTCAAATTTAACAATGGACGACAACATAATACACTGGCAAAGATTTATAAATTAAAAGTTTAGAACATATTTGAATATTCTCCCCAAATTATTTGACATGATTTTAAAGACAGATTTCCCAGCTTAATAATTTGTATTGTTATTAACTGTCACAACAGGGCAATGTCCGATAGTCAGTAATGGTCATCTTCAATACAAAAGAATAAAACCGTTTCTGGCCCACTTTTTTGTCTGTCATGACAAAATTTGGAACTCTAATGATTATTAATGAAATCACATACTGCAGAATAAATGACAAGCAAAATATTTTCTGAGGAGTATTACAGTTGAAGTGACACAAAAAATTAAAGGTTAATGATGAAAATGTCCTCTGAAAATTGTTGTATTGAGTCAGGAAATGAAAATACATTTTAGTTATAATCACAGAAAAAAAAAGGAAACTTGCTATTATGCAATATACCACAGCATCTTGCCTCATTTACATCTGAAAGAATCTTGTAGAGATAACAGATTCTGAGGGAAATATGGGTTCCTAAGAGGTACATGTAGTCCCCTTTGACAAGGACTTGGGAGCTGTGATTGGTCAAAATTGATCTCGTACATTTGAATACGAAGGTCCACTTTCTTTAGCTATTAAATTACTAAATACTACAGCTCTGACTTTAATTTGAATTTACCAACGAAAGACGTTTATGTTGTACCAACAAATTGATAATTTTATGAAAGTTAACTTTTAAACCCTTGAAAGCTGTTACTTAAAAATGTTCAACTTGTTTTAAACAAGTTTACTAAAATGACTTTGAAATTGGGTGAACAATTCCCCATAACAATGACAAAAAGGCATAACTTTCCTTTTGTTGTTTTGCATCATTCATCCCATGTGATATTATCTAGAAATCTACTGCTCTGCATTAAACTAATTACATGTACAAACTCCACTCAGTGTCACAGAGTCATTGTGTTAGAAGCCAACCTGGACATCGTACAAAAAGGTTACGATTCTTTGCATCTAAATGACATGATAAGGCACATTATCAAGAAATCAGTGTTATTAAACACACAACACGACATGCTTGGAGCTAACAGGGTATGTCAAACCTGCCAAAAAAAACATGCTCGGCACACTTGGAGCTAGTATTTCTTATTTTCACAACAACTTTCTCCCTCCAAAGCTCATGGCAAAGGGATCAAATTTCTGATCATTTTCACAAGCATTAATGCAAATGGTTACAGAGGCCGCATACACTTCAACAGAATTAAAAATGACAACACACCCTGAGCTGAACCAAGAGGGTTGGATTTTCCTAGCAAGGCTCCTTTGATAGCCTGAACGACGGTAAGATGTCTTGCATGCGCCTTGCCACCAAAAAACAAACAGTTGGTGCCTCTGCTTAAAGCGGATACCCAGCTCAGAAATGATCAGGATGAGTTTGCGCTCTCAGAGGGGACGGGGTCAAGAGAAAAAGGAATATACTTTAATTACACTGATGAAGACAATGGATGGCCCACTGATTCTCTCTCAGGCTCAAAAACCATGTTTAACCCAAACACTCCTCAGTCCTCCAACAGGTGAAGGATTGAGGAGGGTTAGGGTTCAGCATTGGGCCATGTGCATATTATGCTTGTTCCTATGTGTATGAATCCAAGTACACACAGCCCTTCATTTGCACACAGATTTCTGGAGTGTGGACCCTAAAAATCTGGATTTGTTTAGGGGTTCAATCATTCAAGCTTTGGTATATCCTTGCTTTTTCTACAACAAAGCAGGTCCAATGGGCGGGGGGGAAGAGATTGAACCTACGACCTCAGGAACACAATACTGGAGCTTTACTGACTAAGCTACTCAGCCTCATGTTGGTTGGTGGTTCTTCCCATCTCTGTTGGGGGGGGATTGAACCTACGACCTCAGGAACACAACACTGGAGCTTCACTGACTAAGCTACTCAGCCTCATGTTGGTTGGTGGTTCTTCCCATCTCTGTTGGGGGGGGCATCACTGGTCAGACATCATAAAACTGAAACACCATATTGCCAGGGATCGTGCCCCAAAGACATGAACAACAGTTGTAAGCAAAACCTAGCAACTTTTGATCAGGGATCCCAAAAGGAAGATGCAGCGTTTCAAATAAAATATGTAAACAAAATAACCTGCAGGCAAACTGACAAGGTGCTGTCAAAATAATTATAATGTGAAAGCACTTTGTCAGTTTTCCTACACGGTTGGATTTTTCCAGGAAACTTACATACGGGCATAAGAGCAAGATACAAACTTAAAATGCATGGAAGTTGGCAGCCCTACAAGTATCACATGAAGTTGCAGACAAGATGTGAATCTTCAACAATCAGTTTGGGAAGAGGCTTGGTTATCAGGAAAACGAACTACAGGGGGGTCTGGGGACTAAACATTCAAACCATGAAAATATCCAACTCTCCTCCCACATACAGTATTAAGCTGTGACAACTTTTCAATATTCTTTAAAGGCAAGACCAAACCAAACTTGAATAAATCTACCACCTGACTAAACACAACTCTAAATTTAAGTTTTTTAAATTAAGTACTGGAATACTGCCTTTCTGGTCCAACTCCAATTACATAATTTGTCCTATTTTCATAAATAGGTTACCAAAGATAATTACAAAATTTGTCGTTTTTATTTCATGATTTCTCATATATGTATATGTCCATAATTTACATATTTCAAATACGATATCAGACACCATGCTGAAAAGCAACACACCAACAGTATCTAGATAATCCATCATACACGAGGCAAACACTCGCATGGCAGCACTGTCTGAACCTCTATTATCAATATCACCTGTTAGATAGATCAGACAGTAACAACCCTCTGTACTGAGGTAGACAGAAAAGGAAGCCACACAGAACGACTTGTATCATATATGCATATTAAGCTCAGAAAGACAACGTGTGCAGTGCATCTTTTCGGCATCCTGAGCATAATATGCACGTTGATGCACGTTGTCCTACGTGCCCTCCTTTTCCATCTACCAAGTACTGATGAATACCAGTGTTTACTGCAATGCATGATGGGATAGAAACGGGGTTGTTGTGGAAGGAAAAGAAATAACGCACAAGTTAAATTAAATTGCAAGAAAGTCAAAGGCACATTCTTACCACTTCCAGTAGCGAAAGATAATTCTCTGGAAGATTTCAATTGATGATTTCACAAAACTGCCTTTAGGAAACGGACATAATCATACTCACATGACAGTAGAGCATATATACACCAATGACCCCACATTCTATCCCACCAATACACTGCAGTCAACACAGTGATACATGTATGTCATCGGTACACAGAGCTATTCTTAGCATCAATTTTCCTTCAGTTTTCTAGTTTCTATAAACCTTCTCCAGCACTGTGTAACAATCCAGCAGCTATTGCTCGTTCCTGCTTGCAATTCTACACAAAATGAATGCTGCATTAAAAATAAATGAACCAAGCCTGTTAAAAAAAGTTTGTATAAAATAGTGTACAAAATGCAGAAAAACTTCAACTGCAAAATAATGAATGCATTATGAAAGTAAAATTTGAAAATATTGAAAATTAGCACGACAGCATAAAACATAATACTGCAAGAAATAATGCAAGCAATTCTACTTTTCACTAAATATCAGAATAAAACTGTCAAATAAAAATGCCTCAATTAATATACTGCGCCACTCTTCAACGTAATGCTTGTTTTTTCTCACAACTCAACCTACGTACAGTTGTATTTTATTAGCTTGAAAGGCATCATGTGAAAGAAATTAAATCGCAGTTAAGCGACGAGAATCTTGAGATACAATCAGCTAAACCTTTGACCTCTTTGATGTCTGTCATTAGGAAACTGCTGGGGGCAATTTTATGGTAGGACAGAGTTGTGTAGCCACAGGTTCACCTAACAACAAAAAAAAACTTTGCCAACTGTAGGTGGCGCTGTTTCGCAGTTCACATGCAGACATACATGTTCTTGTATGCATGGAAGGACTTGTAGAGTTCTATTATACCCTCAGCAATTTAGCAAGTTCAATCCTGGAGATGGACATGCTCTTTGCTATGTTCACTCTGAACCATGATGAAGTAAGTCAAGACAACCAAATCCCATACAGAGCAGGGGCATGACACACATTGCTGTGTGTACATGGACAGGCATTACTGCACATCAGGTTCAACCAATAGGAGATCATAACATGAGTTTTGCTCAAGGTCACAAGGTCATTCCATGAGGTTGGGGCACAATTTGTGACGGTGCTCATTGTTACGTGGGTTCCATAGAAAGGAACAGCTATTTACCTGCATGTAGATTCCAAATGATACATCTTGCAAGGCTGAATACAGAGGTGTGTAATATTTTTACAGAGTAAATGACCTACTCTACAGGTCATGACAGGTGGTAACAGTTACAAGGACAACCTCCCAAATTGTGCCCCAACCTCATGGATTACCCTCTTAATGGGATACCAACCACTCAGGTAAATCTATTCCTTTCATTCATACACTAGAGGTGATTCTAGATTTGTGTTTAGCCCTAGCCTGCTGCCGTTGGTATTCCTGGAATTCTTTCTTTAATTCTTCACAGCGTTTCTCCATATCTGCTACCTTCCCATTTCCCTCTTTGTACACTTCCTCTGTACTTGGAGTGGGGATGTCTACCGGTTGGTAGTACTTCTTCAAGGCATCTCGGAGGTCGCTTTCATGCAGCATAGGGTCAAATTCAAAGTACGGTTCTTCAGACTCCTTGGAGCTGACGTTGGAAAACGGCCCGGCAGAATCTGAGAATGGGCTGTCCACGCCGTCTGTTGTGGTGGCGCTCGAGGTGGGATCGTGAATGCTTGGTACGCTACTGGTGCGCCCTCTAGAGGACATGCTCTGTGAGGTGTTGCGACTGGCGTAGCCACTGCTAGCTGAATACTGGCTGTTAGGAGACAGGAGGCTGCGTTGGTGGGCGGAGATGTACGACTGGGGGAGGGGGATAGGCTTTGTAGAGCCGGGACGACTGTCCATGGATGACATGCTTGCGCGACTGTTTGCACTCATCGCAGTTGGGGATACAGAGGTCCTAACACTGCCCTCAGTAGGAGGAAGCGGGAGAGTGTCGTAATTCCGTCCTCTGCTGCTGTGAGTCGGGAGGCCCACACTGTCAAACCTTGGCGACAGACTGCTACGTTTCTGCTGGAAAGGAGAGTTTATTTTTGGAATGTCATCATAAACCTTTAGCTTACTGCCTCCTTGGGGCGACACCCTTTCGTACAGCTTGGGTTTGGCTCCGCCCACCAGTGACTGCATAGCTGGTGATGGGACAGCACTCTCCACTGGCTTGGCGCCCTCTACTGGTGATTCCATGCCATCAACAGGATACCGTTCATCACCATGGTTATCCATGACTGTTGACTCTGCTTCCTGCAATGTGCCTTGCAATGTGTCTGCAACAAAGACAAGTGAATCTAGGCAATTGTTAAATCATTCATTTAACCACTTAGTGCCGGGGAGCCTGGTTATGGGTACCTTGGGCTTGTACGCACAGCCAGGGTGCCTGAAATCGGACAAAAGAGCTGGGCCTTGTAACAAAACACCATACTTGAAACAAAAAACTGAGCTGCTGGGAATCGCCAACATTTTTTCAGATGTCAGTATCAGTCGTTCAGTTTTCAGTTGTTTTGAAAGATTACACCGTTTGTGGCATTCAGCATAAGCGGATTACCACTGGGGACAAAAGCACTCCAGCACTCCAGTGATGAGCAATACAATATCGCTGCACGTTAATCTGGCCCCTATTGAAAAGACACCAGCAGCGCACTGTGCCGGTTTGGGGAACAAAGCAATATTACATAATACCACACAATCTGGGCTCTTTTTACAAGGCGACAGGCCTGACTGAAATACTCAGGTGTCAACAGATGCTGTCTGTCAGATTAGAGTAGCCATCAGACAGTCACTCAATGGGGTTTAGACATTCAGGAAAAAAAGATAAGAATTTTTGAAGGCTTTTGAAAACCAAGATATTGAAAAATTGCCCAGCATTAGACACTGCATTTCCAAAGGCATCTGGCAGCGAGTGGTTAAGTGCGCCTCGTGAAATGTTTTTCTTTTAAAGAAACAGCACTAGGTGACATGTAACCTCTAGAACCACACATGCATTCTGCCAACTTAACTCACTGATCTGCACTAGGGTCTACTGTGGACAACCAGAACTTAACAGGACTCGTGCTCATGTTAATACGCAAGCCAATGGATATCAGTACTGATGATGTCATAAAACGGACAGCCAATAAAAGCAAGTGCTTGCTTTTACACAAAAAATTGGGCTCCATGGCTCCAATGACAAATCCTGAGTGTGCCATTGTTTCTGCAGCTCCTAAGATTTCTATCAAGATTTGTTTCAGTACTTCATCCAACAAAAACTGGCCACAAACTTTATACTGATTGGCAGTTCATTAGATTTGGCAATACACGTTTTTCTACCCACCTTCGTCTGCACAACTCTCTACTGATGCAGCACCACTGTGCCCCTCCCTAGGGTCTATGACCGGGTCTGTCCTCCCTTGTGTCCCCTGGATTGTCCTGACAGGGCTACGTTTCATAACCTGCTGCACAGGTTTCCGATACTGTTCTGAGTCAGGGCTACTGTCTGCTTTGGAGGGAGATCTGCGACTCTTCCCTGACCTTTGACCTCTTGTGTCGGTATTATGATCATACAAGTCCTCTGCAGCCCTTGGTACTCTGGTTCTCTCAGCATAGTTACTTTCATGCCGGTGCGGACTTGTGGATCTTTTTGCAGCAAGAGGCGTGCCATAAATCTTATGAGTGCCCTGAAAACGAAGGCTGGGCCGCTTTTCATGTTTTCTTGACATTCTTGGCTCTCCATAGATGTCAGCACTTTGTGACCTCTGAGGGCTTCTCCTCCGAGGACTGTTTCTGAGCTTGTCATAGTCTGGACATGAGGATTTCCTGGTTCGTCTCTCAGCAGATTGTCTTGGACCATGTGGCCCTCCATACTCAGACTCATCTCTCCCTTGATTTACTTTTGTCCAAGGAGGCTTTCCATAGTCTAAATCGGCATAGTCCGGATGCCTAGTACTCATGGAGTTTCCTTGTATAGTGCTGATGCTATCTGACCAAGGAGGTGAGCTGTGGTACTCTGGCGGGGGGCCACTCCTAAAATCATCCCGAGACAAACGTTGGATATTTTTCCGTGTACTGTGTCTCGGCAGAGTCCTTTGCCTATTTACAGAATCCTGAGAATGCGGTGGTGTGTCACGGTGTCCGTCAGGGTGTGAGTGACTCAGTGTGTCATCAGCCCACTCTCGGTCCCAACGCCAGTGGTTTTTTGTTGGCATGTCCACGTACTGGTTTTGAGTTGGGGGAGTCCGTCTAGGGGGCGGTGCCCCACTGTCATCTGTTACCATTGCTGGGTTCACCACACCACCCTCGTCAGTATCACCACTATGGTAACCACCCTGAGGCACATCGGCCCACCCATAATCCTCATTGTCATCTGAGTTGCTAGTGATGAACATGTTACCATGATAATAAACGTAGTCTCCCCGCACAGGTCGTGACGAGTCGTCATAATCCAAAGGTCTGACACCTGGGGAGACATTACTGTGTGTATCAGGGGATGTGTCACTATCATCCTCATCTTTATTGGTTTCTGATGATTCACCGCCAGAGTGGCAGGGGTAGGAACTGCCGTAACCATACAGCCCTGTCAAATAAGTTTTTTAAAATGTGAAAGTCAATAACATGCCCAAATTGATTTGTACAAGATCAGCGGGTCAGTGGTTAAGACATCTGCACTTGTAAGCACAAGGACATGGATTTGAATCCAACCAAACAAGCTTGCAAAGTTGTTCTCACAAGCCTTTGGGAATCATTTGGCATACGCTGCTTCTAAAATTACACTGGTGAAGGGCATTGACTCAAAATCCATGGTGGTAAAATGGCATTTCTTTTGATCAATTATTCAGGCTTTACCAAATAATACAGTGCTAAATCAACTGTAATTATTATACATGTATCATGTACCATGGGCTCGAATCCTGCCGTCTTGTACTGAATACACACCACCAGGTGACGATGGCCCAAACTCATCAAGCTCCAACGCTTGCTCGGATGCCAGCTGTCTGGAGGCTGCCTCGCCTCTGCTCCCTGCCCTCCCACCAGGAAGCTCTACCCCCGACTCTCTGTACCTCCCAGGTGAACGACGCTGGCGAGCTGATCGAACCAGCAACCGCTCGCTGAGGCTCGGCTCTGAACGACTGGTGGGCAGCTTGCCATTAGAGGTCAGGTGGGCGTGCCGGTTTGGGTGGGGCGCAGAGGCAGGGTCTGCCTTGTGTTTAGGGGAGATCTTTAGAATGAGCTTGGAGACCAGACCTACAGGTTTAACGGTGGCTGGCGTGGGTGTCTCTGCTGATCTGAAGTGAATCAGAAAGAAACAAAGACGTTTGCAAATCAATGAAAATCAAAACTCCCTACTGAGATAAGTATGTGACCCATCATCCTAGAACCAGCACAAGGCTAAGTCATTGTGATATCAAATGCTGCTATCATTACACAGGCAAATATCTTTTTATAGGCAATAAAACACAACCACAAGACAGACATTCAAAAACACTCTTCCCAAGAGACTACTCAATCACACTTTTGCTAACTCTAAAATGGTGAGAAGTGCATCAACAGATGACTTGTGGATACCAAAATATACACTGAAATGTGAAGAAAAACTACCCCTCCTATGCTGTGTGTCCCTACAAACCAATTCTAGAATCCATGCAACTATAGTTACTGATACTGTTACTGATGTTCCTTGCTCCTTGGGACAAAAAGCAGGAAGGTGATTGGCAGGACCGGAGTCAGGGTACTAGGATTATCTGACTTACTGTGCTGGTTGGGGTCTGTGGATTAGTGGTTGTGGGGTCTGGGCTGCAATACCTGCAGACAACAAACAGGAGAAAACAGGACGAGCACTGACGAGCTGAGACTGGCTGCTTCAAGTGGGTATGAAGTATTCGTACAATGAGTAAACCCACAATGCATGAAATGCTAAGGTCTGGATACTTACAAATCTAATTACAGTGAATTATCATGCCAAGTAGGAATGTAGTCAGGCAGTGCAGGGAAAAATATTGCTTTATGTTCACACTTGTACTTTACATAACATGCAGAGTATAATAGCATAGATGGAAATTTAAATCCGCAAAAAATACTTGTAACTCTTCAGATTTTAGCAATAAAAGTAACTGCTAAAACTTCATAAGCTGCAGTTGGAGACTAAACGCCAAGGGGACTGACTGACTCCTGACTGCTTCCCCTATGAAAAGCCTACTGTATGTGTATAACTGATGAAGTTATGCAAATATCCACAGCACAACATGAACTGTTATCCAATCCACAATATCAATCAATATTTTTGACATCAATCAATCCAAACCACATATTGAAACACACCAATTCTACACATACAGGAAAAAGACAGGTTTGCAAAGACAGTGACTATGTATGATATTATTTGAGGCAAACTGTCCAAGCCTCTGTGTTAAGACATAGTGATGATATCCCCGCACACTGCCAAAGTATGCAACAGTTTTACAAATGTACGTTAAAGATAACATACTTTTCCCCTTCATTTAAAAATACACCAACCCAAGGGGTTTGTGCAGAAGGGGTGTGCATAAGAGCACCCCATTCAAAGGTCACTTCTACCTCTGCCTGTCTCTAGTAGGATCACTTTGGTCTGGTTCCCAACCAACACAGTCGCTTATCATGCTGTCTATAACCTGTACACCACACACTCCCTTCTAAACACATCTATACCCTTGTCTAACTTACTGAAGAATGCTTGTCTCTTTTTCTTCTTCCTTCTGTTGTAGATACACACAGCCAGAACGCTTAGCAACAATGACACAAAAAGGAAGCATATGCCTGCTATGACACCGGGCAAAATGCCTGGTTCCCCGTACTGAGGGGTGCCCTCTGTTGTTGGTTTTGGAGGCATATAAGCTGGGATATCTAGAGAGAGATTAGTGACAAAACAGACAAACACAGGTTCAAGTTGCATACACCTCTCCTACAGAGAAAAGATCTGGGGCATTCGAAATAATTCAGCACAGGAGAAATGCATTTTGAAAATCATCTTAAATTGAAACAAGGCAAAACAAATGAGCATGTTCAAATTCCTAGTTGGATAGACCACTGATTATTGTTTCCGTTCATCCTGGTTAACCTTCCCAACATCCGTAAAGGGCAATTTTTTAACAGAGATTCTCACGCTGTAAATGAAGAGGTTATGCTAATCAACGGACCTGCCAACCTCTCGGATCACAAAACTGTATTCAAAAGTTGTATTTTTCATTAAAAGTCGTATTTTGCAAGAAATGAGCACATTCCTCTGCATGATCATTTTGACCACTCATCTGGATTGGGTCTAACGTTAGTCCTAGTAACTGGGGCTAGATTGGGTCAACACTTCTTCATGCATAAAAATAATCACACAAGAAATCCATTTTCGAGGTTGAAGCCTGAAATGGCTCTATTCCCACATGATTTGACTACGTTTTCTTACGATATCTGTCTTCTACGATATCTTGAAATGCACATCGCATGTCCAGGCTTTTGGAATTTCCTGACATGGATTTTGTCCATTGCCTGCTGGCCAGCCGTAAAATGTCTCTATCCTTGTGATCAGTCATGTCAAAGATTGCATTCAGATCGGACCCTCTTTCGACAATTCATACACAGGTTTTGCGCTGACATGTTGATAAGTCTATGTCCAAACATTGCTTGAAATCTCTTATAAGCGATGCACACAGTGCATGTAAAAGCCGTGCAATATACGACACAATTTCTTTGCCCCACGCAAGTTGCAAAGAAGCCAGCTATTTTCCGAAAATGGAAAATTTACTAACGTTATTTCAAGCCGCATATTTACAACTTTTTATCTACAATTTTTTTCAGGTGTGCCAAAATGGCCAAAATCCGCTTTTTATGGGGGAGAAAAAGTACAACCCTTTTTTCAAGAATTTCCCATAGGAAATACAGCTAAATCATACCAGTTGGCAGGTCTGTAATCAAGCACTAAATGCAATTAACTATACCTCCAGTGAAACCAGTAACCATCTCGCTAGGCGAGCTGTACAAGACAGGCGTGAATGCAAACATGCGAAACTGGTAGGTAGTGTTGGGCTGCAATCTCTCCAGGAGCTGGTCCAATTGGCTGCCGTCCACACGGTCATACATCACCACCCAGGGGCCATGTAGCCGGTACTCAATGGAGTAACGATTGACAAACTGACCCCAGAGGGTAGGCGGGTACCAGGAGAGGAGAAGGCCCTCTTGAGTCGGTAGGATGCTCAGGTTCTGAGGTGGGGAAGGGGTGAGGCCTGGTCGGAGGGTAAGGAATATAAAGCAAGTCCATTCAGATGAAACTTCTGGCTAATGAGCAACCCTCAACATGAAAAAGGATCAATCCGCGAGTTTCAAACCATTTTGAAGACTACCTGAGGCTGGAGATAATAAACTGCTGTTTCTTCCTTGATAATGATTTGGGAAAAAAAATTCAAATTTGGCAAGACATGACAAAGGTCCTTGTGCTAAGGTACAATGCTTTGATTACAATTTTCTGATCTTACTTTAAGTTTTGACAGAAAACAAATTGACGATTATTTATAACTGACACAAGACCATTACTGCCTGCCATCTGAAAACCTTAAATGTTATTGTAAGAGCACACAGGAAGTTCATCATTGAGATGGCGCAGTTATTAACAATCTCAGCAGATCTTTCAATGTTAAACTTGACTCCAGCAGACCTGGGAGAGTTGTAAGCATCATCAGAATGAATAAATAAACAAACGCTGACAGATCCAACTGGTAATCCGCGTTGTGCAGTACCTCAACACATCAACAACTGTGATCTACCCATTGATCACACCTGTCATATATCAACAAAATAACATGGTACATCTGCCACTAAACATGACCAGATGCACTCAAGATTCGGTGAACCGTTGAGGCAAACCGAAGGAGTACACTAAATTCTTCTATAAACTGATCTGACTGAGCACAGCTCATCAAGTGTTTGGTGCAACATGGCCTTTTCCCAATTAGGCTCTGCCTCACAAATCCAAAGTGTTTATAAACAACAGGGTCTGCAATAGTTTAAAGAGGTATCAGTGAACCAGTGACAAGCCGCATTGGGCATCCTACCGATGGGACAAATCACTTCAGTAGATGTGATCTAAAGGTCACCACTTGAAAAAGTATCAATACTATCTCCCAGTCTACACAGCATCAAAGATAACTAAAAGATAGCCTTGTGTGTCTGCAGCCTATCCAGTTCGTAAGTGACTTCGTCACAAAGGCGGACGTGCCACGATTTGCAGGCTCCAATGGAAGCATGCAAATCGTGGAAGTTGCGCTTCAACTTCGGCTTCCATGGTTCCACATAAACGGAGATCAACGCATGTAACTCTGTGTGCAGTGCATGTGCAGTGGGCATGGTTTAAACTGAAGTGACGTCAAACTTACGAACCAGATAGTGGACTCATATTCTACATGCACTGAAACAATGTACAGTAATAAGCCAAAAGACATCTCTGCAATCTCTGTGAGATCTTGTCCAAGCTTACCAATGTAAATAGGGATGAGTGTTTTCCCTGTTTCATCAGTTGGTGACACCAACTCCCCTGCATCTGTGAAAAAAAATCAATTATAGTAAAGTTGTCAACAACCACTTGGAGAAAGAAATCAATTACGCATTTTTGTAAACTTTGATGAAACCCTCTCAACTACATGCAGTTCACTCCTTGGGGATGGATTTACCTTTAGTTGTTGCTGAGACCATTTCACTAAACAGACTTTGTCCTAGTTGGTTACTGGCAACCACTGCAAACAGGTACTCAGTACTTGGCTTAAGATTGTACACAATATGGAAGTTGATGTCCTCTGGTATTTGGTCAAATGTAGTCCACTCCTCATTGGCTACTCCTGCCTCTAGGTACCTTGGATAAAATATATAAAATTCAGTCCAACAAGAGGGAAACACCCAAATTTTGGGAAGCCACTGACCCACACAAGTTGTTAGTACCAACTTAAGAGACTTTATCGTAATAAGCTAATTTAATCTTGGAAATCTGCAGATTACAGAAAAACTAACTGATGCATTATGACATGAACAAGTATATGTCTGACCTTACATCCTTGGCATCTTCAAATCAATATTACAATATCAACGACAAATAATGTAAACCCCTACACCTGACAATAAACCTCCATCATTCATTTTGCAACAAAGCAAACAGAATATGAAGCACAGCAGAGGCTCTTACCACACAGTGTAGGTCTGTGTGAAGCCTCCATTGTAGGCTGGTTGCCAGGCAACACGGGCTGAGCTAATGGTGGTTGCCACGGTGACATTATAAGGTTCATGTGGGGATGTTACTGTAACAAAAAATCAAGTCATTAAAACATTAGAGGTAGTGTATATCACCAGGTCAATTTCAAAAATCGGACGACTGAATAACGGTAAGCTTTAAATGTCTTACTTTTAAACCAAGAAAATAACAGTGTCAGTCAATCTATACAATTCTACCACGTAAAATACTATTGATTTCAAGGAAACAAAAACTGTGCAAAACAGTATCTTAGAATTGTAATAATTAGTTTAACATCGTACAGACAGAATGTGCTTAAAGCTCTGACTTAAAAAAGCTTGGTAGGCCTACTCCAGGAGAGGATTTCAACCAGAATCTCCAGTCTGTCTCAAGCCATGACACCAATAAACATGCTGGAGTCAGCAGCTGACACGTTTAATCTCAGATAACAGTGGCTACTCCAAGCAACCAATGCGGACAGGATTTTTTTTAAAAAGAAAACAAAACGTTCTGGGATTTTAAAAATTTTATCTGATTGAAAATTCCATGAAAGGCAATGTTTGGAATGCTCAAGATCAGGAAAGCCAGAATTGTGTCTGGGCTGACATTGACAAATGGCAATGACTGGTAACCCAACCATTCCATTGTCCACAACTGGTGACTATCCCAGGTACTATGAAGACTAACATTACAACACTAAACAAACAGGGCCATCTGATAAACCAGAGTACACTATCAACATTATCTGGGTTAAAGTTTTGTTGTGGTTGGTCACAAACAGGTCAGTCAGGGTTCGGAGGGATGCTACCTTGTCACCTTATCAGGTTGTCAATATTTGCCAACATCAGATTGAGGGCCATTAAGCCTAGTCAATGAATGACTATTCAAGACAGAGGGGTGCATGAACTGGTCAAATATGCTCCTATCAAAAATATCATTTCTATAAGTACTGCGAATCTTGAAAATAAATTTTGAAGAACAGCAACTATTGTATTTTAATGGACCTAGGAATTATTATTAATTTGCATGGTATTGAAATGTCATCATGGATACACTATAAATGGAGAACTGAATGAGCCCACTGCAGTACTTTACCACAATTGGGTATTCATTGTCAGATTTTCAAACTGATTTTCAAATGCTGTGTAAGCATGAAAGACTACAGTTTTGCCTGAAAGCTTTGCAGTTTTTTATATTTCTACCACAGGAAACAATTTCACTGTCAAAATCATGGCTCACTTACACCACGAAAAACCATTAATACTTGGAGATTCAAAGTCGCCAAAAGGATCTATGCCAATCTAGACAAAAACCGAAAAGTGCTTGGGGTGAAATTCTAAAATTAGGATTGATTTTTTTCCCCACTTCTTGAAATATTTGTTGGGAAGAGACGACTCAACTCACGTTCAACAATCAGTTGTGTAGTGGTAACAACTGCTGCAATCTGATTGGTTGCCTGGCAATGATATATCCCATGATCCTCTTTGGTTAATCCACGAATCATCAAAGAATCCTGAGAGACACTGGACCGTAATGGGGGTAGTTTACCATCAACCTAAATCACAGTAAGAAATCCACGGTATCGGAAACTAAGATGGTTGTTTTCAAACTGTTGCTCTTTCCGCTGTACACAACGTAACATTGACTTATGTAAACTTGGCCAATATATTCATATTCCATAAACTACACGCACTGGAATAATTTACCTGATTACCAGTGAACGTCAAATTTTCTTACCCGAAAAGCTGCAGGGGGCGGTTTTTTTTAACCCACAAATTCTTCCACCTAGCAATTGTGCTTTGACTTGACTAAGCACGAAACCGTAATATGTTAACCGCGGAAATGAAAAAGGAATTCTTAAATGAGTGTAAACAACCTCCAAAGAATAAACAAGGAGATTTGTTATGTGTGTTAACACGTCATCCAGCACCAAGTACTTCAACAATTGTACAGTAAATATCGTGTTTAGAGATAACAATGACACTGAATGCGGCAAACTGTGGAGCCTTCTAATTGTGCACAACACAGTGAAAATGGTGACAAAAACGTTGGAAAGAAGTGTTTCTTTAATATCAAAATACATATCAGTAAACGATATGTCACCGGGTGGAAATTTAATTTTCCAGGGATGGCTCCAATTTCATAAACAGTCTTGCCGTTTTTAATGTCATGGCAGCATTCACATTTCTAGTCAAATAAATATGATCTGGAAATGCAGACAGCAGGATGACAATTCCACAGTCATCGGACTGTAGACAACTCTAGAGGCATGACATTTCAATACAGAACGAGTCAGCTCAGCAGATGTGTTTATTTGTCTCCACTACGCCAGCGGAATTTTGTCTACTATAATATAAACCTTGAATTTCTGGTATTGCACATAAGACGCTGCATACAGTATGCTTCATTCAAGGAACTTACTCCATGCTAATTGAAAGATCTTCCAATACCTTTATTTTTTACATGTACCTGCTCCTGTGGATCTCACAAACACAATTTCTGTTAAACTCCCCCAAATCAATGTTTTCTCAGCATTTTTTTAAATTATTGATGTGTTTATAAATTGATTGGCTGATTCTGGTTTAAGTAACAGGTTTGTGGCAGCACCATGTGGAAGTAACTCTGTGAGGACAGGACAGAGCATACTGTCCAAACTGTGAGTGCCCTCCCTTCTTTTAAAAAAAAACCTATCAATTGACTCGCCGCCTTCAAAATAAAAAACTTCAAATCTCATCTGATTCTTGTTTGCTCAAATAGCACTGCTCCCCCCCCCCCCGACATGCAGCTTCATCCTGGTACCTCGCGGCGTACCACGCTGGTCATGTTGGAACGTCGTCAACGCCCTATACATTACCTTATGCCATGACATCGTAGGGGCGGGATCACCGGTTGCCGAGCATGGTATGGTGATGTCTTCACCTAGCAAGCGTTGGTAGAGGGACTTGGGTCTGGTGACAAACTGTGGAGGATCTGTGGTGTGATAACAAACAAGGTTGGAACCGGACAGCCTCCTGTCATGCCCAAGATACCAGCATGTTTTTTTTTAATATAGTCCATGAGGCATGACACATTATATCAGTCAATTCCAATATAGACAGTAAAGCACTATAATTGATTACCTCACAGCCCAATCAATGATTCACAGCGGCATAGACTGAAAAGAATATTCTTGAATAAGTCTAAATGTACAAGTGAAATTGTGGAACATCAGGAACATTAGGAAAAGTTTTTAAGAGCTTGGCAGAGGGATGCCAGCTAACTAGAGCTCCCATTGCAAGGGGGGTGGTTTCCATCTGCAACAGGTGCTTATGTACTCTAGACTTAAATGATTAGACCCCTTTGTTTACCATTAACCCTATACAGGGACCTCTTGTAGGCTGCTGTTGTTCAGTCAATTATAAATGACAAAACAATGCTTTAGTTACAGTCAACATGAGTAAGTTATGATTTCAATGCAAACCAGAGGTGTTGTATTGGACTGGTGGTGGTCTTATGAAAGGGTCTCTACTACCCATACAAAACTAGCCAGCAGACGTTTTCAAGTGACAGTTACCAGTGGTCAAAAGGGGAACTCTTACTGAACATTCCTAAAGATCAAAATGGTTTGGTCTATACCTCTGACAGTAAGTAGAGTGACTGTTGATTCCCCGGCTGTTCCAATCTTGTTGTAAGGGGTGCAGGTGTAAGACCCACTGTCTCCTAAATCAGTCCTGAAGATGGTGAGGCCACCTTCATCTGAGATTCTGTATCTGCCAAGAATCAAGTCAGGAAATCAATTTTCATTACAGGTTTTGTCCTTACCAGACATATACATTTATAAACACTGTATACTCGGTGCTGTCCGAGAGCTTGTGAAAAAATTCACAAGCTCTTGGACAAGCACTGAGTATACAGTGTTTAGAAAATACGTCAAATAAATGCAAACTTGTAATTAAAATTAACATCTCCCTGATGCAAAGTACATCTTGAAAATCTGAAAATCAACATAAGAAATTCTCACACTGATATCTGCTCTGAATTCATCTAAATCTGTTACAAGTCAGATCAGAAGTTAATCAGATGTCATTAAGTCGATCCCATTCGTATCGAACGCTAATAACAAATGGTCAAGTCCACCAAATCTCCACTCATAAGCAGTTGGGGATGAACACCCTAAAAGAAATCCCTCAGGCATTAACTTCATATTCCTTGAGGTGGAATGATTAGGTAAAGACTCATAATGACACAGAAAATAAGCAAGAACATTTGATGAAACACAGAAATACCTGAGTGATTGCTGCACTATGACCTCTGACCCATCCTTTCTCCAAACCACATTCAATAACGGTGGGTCAGCATCAACTGGGCAGGACAGGGTCACATCTAAACCCCTGGATATGTAGGCATCAGGTGGCATGGATGCAACAACAGCAGGATCTGTCACATTAAGGTTAAAGGAGGAAGGAGTTTTATACACAAATAGTTGTTTGATTTCTCCTCTTGGCTGATGTGATATCTTAGGGCTGGCAGTGGTTGGCATTACAGTTCTGATTGGAAGTCTGAACTTGAATTGGGTTCTTTTTGTAATGTCTCGGTACCATATGAACCTGTTCTTTCCCAGATACTTTGAAATCCCACAAGTAATAAGTTTGAAACTTTTTTAAGGCAGTAAGAGCCCAGCCACTTTTTCTATACATTGGCCCTGATGCCCCTTTCAAAAAATGGAAGTTTAAGTGTTCATTCGTGAGGTGAAAATTGGTTCCTGGCAGAGGTGACTACTGAAGGGTTCCACAAGGTTTCGTTTTAATCAGAATACTCAGAAAGTTAGGCTTGGTAAATATTGAGGGCTTGATGGCTTTTCCAAAATGCAGAATGTCCTCTTTGCCATACTGCCGAAAGATGCCAGCTATATTGATTATGTAAGAACACTTAGAACTAGGATTCAACTCAATATAGCTTAAAGAATTAGAATCGCTTTTTATTTTGGTGAAAAAAAACACAATATCAATTTGTGTTTTCATTTCTTTTCCCATTTGAATTGCAAGTCCAATTCTGCTCACACTGGACATCCAGGTAAGCTCTTGCTGAGGGATCCACCCCTAGACCATTGGTGGGTGAACAGGAGTACCAGCCCTCATCCTGGGGCTGCACTTCCCTGATCATCAACCCATCCTCTGGTAGGAACTCATACTGGCTGGATTGCTGAATCAGGTCACTGCCACGGTACCAGCGCTGGGTGGCGTTGTCTGGCGAGGCTTCAGATTCGCACTCAAAGATGGCCAGTTCTCCACTGATGACTGTTAAATTGTGCGGTGGGATGAAAATAAATGGGGCACCTGGGGAAAAAGATAAAAGCATCACTTGGTCTCAGTTCTACCTTGAAACAAGGACTAAATATTTCAAGGAAAGACCGAGTGATGTCTAAAAGGCAGACACACCCTTCAGAAGTTCAGACTGGCATTTTCTTAACCAGTTTACAATCAATGTAATAACGTTTTGAGAGGTCTGACAAGAGAAAATATTCTCCAAGTTTTAAAATTTTACAATGACACTCTTTTTCATAATATAAACTCTCAACCACAAAATGATGACTCACCATGAACTAGTAGGCGGACAGTGTGCTGCACCGCCCCCTCCTCACTTTCCGCTTTACATACATACGTTCCACTGTCATCCTGCCTCACCCCTTCAAACACAATGGAATTGACCGTTGTCCTGATATGGTTACTGGTCAGTGGGCCGCCATCTTTCTGCCAGGTGACAGTGGGAGTGGGCGTGCCCTTGGCAACACATTGAAGGGTTTCATGTTTACCCTCGTGGAAAATGACCAATGCAGGTGGAGTTGAAAGAAATCTGGGTGGACCTTTAGGTTCAAAAAGCAAATGAAACAAATGCTGGTCAAATACCAAGGGGAACCAAGGTAATGAAAGAGGAAATTTCAAAGCAATCGTCCCTCAGTGGCAATTATTAAATTGACAATAACAGAGAAATGTATGTACTTTCCTAACTGCAGGATACATAGGGACATCATGGGCAGGAATTTTAACACCCCAAAACAAAACAGAAAGCAAGAGAAAGATCAAGCTGGCCAAGGATAAACCTTACCATCAAAAAACCCTCAAAACTGAAACACACTCTGTCCCATAAAACTGAAGTCGATATTGCCAGAAGCCTATTTTGCCCGAGTAACCAAGAATTCAAAGCAAGTTCACCGTGTTACTGTTGATCACTGGCATCAGGTTTCCTGGATAAAAAAAGTCTGCCTGAGGAGAGGGAAATACTGTCAAGAACTCAAGCTGGTCTAAGCACATGTACATGTGTGCCTGAACGCCATTCAAATACAAAGCTCGTTCCCTAACCAAACCAAAGAAGCCCTTACAGAATGAAAAGGGAGACCGTTTAGCTATTTAACTGCAGATTACTCGTATCAATTTACACCTACTTTGTAAGTACATATAAAAAGAAGCTCCCCCGTCGTTTTGGAAAGCAGGACCATTCACCAGAAAACTTTCTCCTTTTTTTTTAACTAACAAAGTCTGTTTTCTCTATTGTGGGGGAAGTCTTTTTGAATAAGGACGATTACAGGTATCAAATTTAAGAAGCAAAAAAAGTGCCACAGGTGATGGAAAAACCAGTTGAATACATGCACCAGAGCAGGTCCTAAGTATTCAAAACTCAATTGCTACCTCCTATAACCTAGCACAGCATTCAATTCATGTGAGCTTCAGCATATACATGTACAAAAAGGGCATCCTAGAGCTATCTCGAACAAGCCAGTGATTTGAGAATCCTTTCAAACTGTGAAATCAAATCTGGTCTTTGTAAAGTTTGAATTCTTACCACAGCAAACACGTAATGCACACAGAGTCCTTATTAGACACAAAGTGTCACTCGTTTTTCCCCTGAACTGTGTAAGGGCCACCACTCTAGTCGCCTAGCACATCAGGTCTTTTGTATTGGGTCGATGGCCCCAGGCGGGGTGCATAATCCATTTGCGGGGTGTTTAAAGAAGAGGGCTTAAATCACCCACAGAAACCACTTCAAATGGATAACCACTACAAATTGTGTTTCATGTACCTCTGCCTGGTACACGTACATTGCATGTACAGACATTTACCGGTAAATCTGTCTGGCCCCTTGGTACACGCATTTACTCCCATTCTGGGTAATCATATGAAATTTTGAGTAACAATTAATCTATCTTGACGCTGAGGCTACTGAGCCACTGTCAATCCAGGGCTTCACACCAAATTCCTATTTGATGACAGAAGCCCAAAGAACAAGCATACAGCCATGTCCAATATGTAGAGAGTACCTGTTTCAATCGTGCACAAGTGAACAGACCATTTGAAGAAGTTGAACATAAGGAATGGAAGAAGTACATGTATTTGTTTCTTGACTTCATTCCAGTATCATGGTTGGGCGAGTAACAGTTGTCAGGAGAGAAAGTGGCATTAATGGAGTTTTGCCTTCAAAGAGTCATTCTTTCCAGTAAACAATGAATTCTTGGTACCCGGTTGCATTAGCCATTTGAATGTGTACAGTGCAACCACAAGAAACAGGATTTTATTTTCTACTGGCCAATGAGTATCTATATGGAGAGAGAGGGCTCCAGTTTAAACCCAGGGCAAAGAATTTCTTATAAAGATAATGAATGGAGTCTGCAGCTGCTGGGAGGTCTAAGTGACTTATTGGGTGTTGCATGGCTACGCGTGCCTGTCTTGCGAGTGATCATTGTTCAAGAAACACCGCTTGCAGGATAACCGTTAAGCTGTGTTTGAAATGCAGCCTCCTTGTTTATCAAATGTATTATTAGACTGCTGAACAACATGTAGGCCTACCCACACCTACTGGCATAGTGGACCGTTACAGGTGCTGGGTGATTCTTGGGGATTGGTGGAAATTCAAATTTTGAAAGATGCCACTAGCCACTTTTCATGGATAGAACATGTAAATTTACATTCAGGGTTTAAGAAGTGTTGAACCACTGCATATCGTATGCCACATGAATATAAGTAGCTAAGTACCTAACAAACCAAAAGCAACTCAAGTTACTCAACCCCCCAAAACCATCCCTATAGTTTTCCCACAAAGCCACAAATTTAAACAGTTGCCTACTCAAGTCTTTCTTTTATTGCCATGCAGACATTTGGATATCAGCAGCATTAAGAAATCATGTGCATCCACATCATGAATATTGAATTTTCCAAACAAGCCTAGAATGCCATCAAAACAATTTTTATTGGACTGTGAAAGGCTTACAAGAGTGTCATATCAAGAATGGTATATTGACCACTTCCATGAATAATTTGTTGTTTTCACTAAAGGCTGACAGATTCTAAATACACAGCCTCTGAGAGAAGTGAACATATAGGTCACATTTGAATAAAATTCCTGAATGTCTGACAGATGAAAGGAATTCCCTCAGCCAGTTAGGAGAAAGAAATTAAAACAACTTCTACTTCAAGATTAAGTAAAGCAAACGTGTTATTGAAGTACCAATATCTACTGTATGATGGAGCCTTTTATTGATTGACTCTGATCTGGCAAGGATTATACAACAGAAACCTGATAATTTGAGCCCACAAGAGGAAAGCCTTGCTGGATGGAGAAACCTTCAACAGTCACACCAAAGCATCCCCACTATACCAAATAAAACACCCAGTAATGGGGTGTTTGGGTTAGGTAGAGGAGTGATGGATTGTATACTGTACAACCTTCCATTCAAGATTTCTAGTTGTTTGATTACTTAACATCTCGGCTGATCAATGGTAGAGCCTTGGGGTAAATTGGGCAACTCCAAACTGTATAACAGACCACTTCAACAATAACAACATTTCTTGTAACCAGTCCAGATTGCTATCAAATACATGTACATATAGCAGTTCTGTGTGCAGCACATAAGCCGGTTCACTATTCAGTTAAAAAAAATGATTGACTTTAAGTTGTTTGGGTAGTTTATCTTTCCTTTTTTCCATGCAATGATTTATTTTTGGGGTATAATTGAAAGTTCTCTACCTAGCAGCGTTTCGAGCATGTGAAAACAGAGAGTCTCAAGCCAAGGTGTAAAGCCTCAACTTTTCAACACAAATTTAACAAAGAGTCAGTAAATTTAATTTAAGAGAGACAAATATACACATTATGCATGAACTACACTTGCCGCCAGTTAATTAAAATCTATACAAGATTCACAAATCTGGCATTTGAATTAGTCAACATCATGCTTCAAAAAGAAAGAAATTACCCATTTGAACAACAATATTTCTGCAGGCACAAAACTTCAACATGTGAACAAGTAACTACACACAGGTGGAAAGCAATTGTTTGAACTTGCTTTGTTTCCAGCTAACTTGGTACTTGTGGACAGCCTACCACTAGATATAGGCCTAAACATTAAAACTGCATGTGTACCGGTAGAACCGTACACTACGATAACCGAACCATCCTTACAGATGATTCAAACAGACCTTACCAATTATAATGAGGTGGACGAAGGTGCCATTTCCAATGTTATCATAGCTGCCAGTCAAGACGATGACCTGGCATTCATACAAGCCGTCATCCTCCGCTACCACCCCGTCAATGCGCAAGGACAAGTCCTCCTCAACAGACACCCTGCCAGCATACTGGGAGTCCACATAGGGCGGGAAGTCAGCAAAACTGATGTAAAAGGGAAAAGGGAGATCCAAACGACGCCACTGGAGGAAGAAGGGAACGAAGGATAAGGATGGAGAGGGGGACGGGACTGACTGATTGCAGGGAAGAGTCACGATGTCACCAGAGCGAGCATAGATGGTCTCTTGCTTGGAATCTGCAATGGAAGAGAAAAAGACAATCACAGATCAACAAACTGTTTGGGAAAGATAGTTAGGATGACTAATTTTTAATTCCCCGCACTATGTCATACAGTACCCATGCAATAATGTATTACATTCTTGCTACGTTTACAGTAGAGCCTACCGTACATAAGTGCAACCTTTGGTCTTGTTATCTCTACATGTACATGTCACAGAATCTCAGAGGTAACATTCAATGGATTTTCAACTCATCAAGAAACCCACAAAGTCACCAGGTAAACCATTCACTACAAACGGTTCATTGGGTTGTTATGCACAAAGTATGAAGCACAGCAACTCAGGTAAATATTATGCAACACTTTGCCAGGGTATCCCACCGGTAAATATTCAGCTAAAGAGATCACAACAGACGAAAGGCCAATTCCAAACTCTCATAACCAACCGAGGCTCAAATTTTGGTAAGGTTGGTAAAAGCAAACAGGTTTTGGCAAGAATACTGTACGGTAGGTTTCTTTTCTCACTGTGCAGAATCCAACGTCCTGAGACTTAAAGGCCTACGTGTACATGTACCGGCAAAATAAACATTGACTGAAGAGCTACCGGTATATGTTGTCTCAAAAAAGAAACGCTTCAAGGGACAACAATTTCCTACGATGTACATTCGAGAGTATGATTTTTAAAACCATTTTTTAAAGTTAAAATCATCTTTTAAAATCATACATGTCCATTTAATTGGAAAAGAACATAAATTCAAATGTAGAGAAAGGCATTTTAGGCCTTACAAAGCAACAAGCTTTTTGTTTTTAATGCAAAGATCAAAGTTGGAATCAAAAGAATGCAGAGCACACGTGCCTGAATTAGTGTTTGATTATTTAGGATTATTTAGTGCTTTAAACATATACACTTAGTCTAAAAACCCGGGCTAAATCTAGGACAATCAATAACCTACTCAGGGCCACTTTATTGCAATAACTGCTGAATTTTCTGCCTTGCCAAGCTCATGGAATAACAAAGGATACCAGCTAGACTGACACCCTCCTACAACCAGCATCAATCCCCCATTAGAACACTCTACCAAAAGGCTCTTATTTTAAGAGCAGGCTGCCTGGGTGTTTGTATAGCTTTATGGTACAGACACACTCACTGGGGAATTCCTGAACCCACTTTGTGGTCTTCTAGTGAGTTTACACAAGGGGCACTTTAAGGTGACCCGGATTTGACCTCCTGTGCCATAGGATCATGTCATTTTCCGCTGACATGAGTTCTGCATGTGAAACAAAAAACAGGCAGCTTTAGGAGTAGTTTCCAGGATGCCTATTACTTTCAACTGGTATTTGATAAGTGGTGTTCTAGCCATGCACGGTGGGCAGCACTGTGGGGCACCACCCAGCAGTACTGCGAATTTCGGCCCGACTCTCGGGTTCAAATTGGCTGTGCCGCCAGCACAGATTTTCCCCCCAAAAATGAAATATATCTGAAAATTTGATTGCATTTCAAGCATCAGAAAGCATTGAGAATGTCTAGCTAGCATTGTTACTAGACCCAGATGTGAAATTATGGGATATATAAATGTAGCTTCCCCTCAGGCAGCGTGCACGTGTTCATAGTCTTGGCTCAAGACCAGCCAATATCAATAGAGGGTGCTAAGCCAGTCCAGCTATGAGCCGCAGAGCTCCGCTCACTGCACTCGCTATGCTTCGCAATCTAAACATTTACCTGGCACTGAAATGGTCCTAGCTAGAAAACTGTTGGTAAGGAGATCAGTAGCTATACATTGTAAGTTGCTTCACCTTTGGCTTCGTTATTATACAATACTTTTGTTTTTAGGAACAAGAACTTTGGTAATATCTGTTTGACCACCTCACACATATCAGTACCCGGGGGAACCCTGCATGTACATGTGTGTGGCATGCTTTTGAAGAATCTAGAACCAGTTTGGTTCACCTGATTTACAAACTTAATGACAATTAAAGACTAGTCAATGTACATGTAGGCCTATATGAACCAATGTACCAGGATTTCTCAACATTAATGGTTACGGTATTACTCCAATGTACGCATACATTCAGACTAGCTGTAGACATCCAGTTCTGACATGTACATGTACCAGTACATGCTCAGCACATGTCCCAGGGTTGCTGCTTCTCATCCACATGTTGCCACTTACATGAAACATGTCCATTAGTGCAATACCCACTGGATCTAGCTGAAAGCTTTTGAGGGGTTTTTGCCGGAACGCCATCTCCAAGTTAGGATGTTTCTGTCAGGGGACCATGCAGGGCTGGTAAACAATCCAGTAGATACCAATGATGCTCAGATTTAACCATACTCCTGATTTTTTTCATTTTTGTCTGTCTGTTTCCTGATATGGGACAGTTATAGAAGCCTATAGTGCATGCATGTCTGGGTACGAGCATTAACTTTGTGGGACTTGAACATAATTATTTGAAAAACCAGAAAAAAATCCTTGAATAAAATTTGTTGTATCTCTTCGACATCATTTATAGCAACTTCTCAGCATGAACACACAACAACATGACAAAGATGTTCGTGTATAATGTGTCCATGTGTCCATGTACAGTAGGTGCTCGGTACAGCTGTGCTGGATTCCACACAACACAGAAAGTTGTCCAAATGCCCATGGCAAACCATGGCAATATGTCATCCTAAGGATCACCACGGTAACGGCATGCTACTGCAATAATTGCTGTCTTTTAAAAAGGACCACACACATACCCGGTAGATGTCTGCACATGTATCTAATCATAAAGGCTGTAATTACCCTTCTGCAGATTGTAAGGGATCCTAGTAAATGTTTTCACACTCTCACATGCCTGCACAACTTGGAATTTTAGGAATGATTTCAATGGCATTCTTTGACACTAAAAAGTTACCATGTTATTATTTCATAATCATTGACAAATGGAAAAAGTAAGCTTTTATACATTTAAATTTTGCCTGAAATAAAATTAAATCTTGAACGTTTCCTTAGTTCAACAACTGTTTTGCATTTCACTCATAATGCATAGGTGTAAACTTTGATGAAACAGATGAATTGCTGACAATGTATCCACACAAATTGTAATCAGCAAACACATATCTTTGGAACAATTTCAAGTTGAATTCTTATCCCTTCCGGACTTCCATAATTTACAGCCAAATCATTCTATATCATGACTATAAACCCACATGCTGGCATGGTGAAATAATGGACCTCAAAGACACTTTATGACAGACATGATTTATTACCCAGGGAAATCTCATAAAATGGCTGGATGCACATGCAGGCCAAAAGTTCTACAAACCCTCTGAGATTCCTGGTATGGGATAGCGTGCATTCCTCATCAACCACCTCACTAAGCTTGGCTGTATATCTGCAGTCTCCATTTCACTTTCAGAATGACAGGGTAAGTTCGTTACCAGGCTAGTGACTGTATTTGCTATCAACAGAGAGCTATTGCGTGCATTTGGCCAATTGATCATGCTCAAAATGAGGCACAGTCACATGATACAGAACGGGTAGGGAGGCATACATATAGGCCCCTTTGTAAAAAACATACATAGGAAAGACCCAAGCTTGACATTAACAGAAAGAGAATTCAGCTGGGCTTTATTCACTAAAAAGGGCATATTTTCCAGACAATTAAACAGGCACCCCCCTTTTGTGTTGCTCATTGTCTCGCTGGAATCTGAGGAATTCTTTTCAGACATCAATGGGGATGTGTTGGGTAACAATAGTCTAGAGTGTTAAGACTCGAAGGTTTTCATGGTGAAAGAACTATACGAGTCAAACGATTGCGGTTACACCACGGATCTATCTCTTTCTTGAGTATGTGTGGTTCTGAGAAGAACCGGGGTTCTTCTCAGAACCACACATACTGGTTCTTCTCAGATACACATACTCACCAAAGAGACTGCTCCATGGTGTAACTGCAATCGTTTTACTCATATAGTCTAGAGTGTGTACAGCGATTGGACATGCAGGGGGATCAGTACCCCTCGGCCTCGGCCTCATTTCTTGCCAGATATACACTCAATTTATAAATACAGGGCTTGAATTTTGCTTTTGGGAGGGGGGGCACTGCCATTTTTGCCTCAGGAAATGGGGCATTGAAGGGGCACTGAAGCCAACAAAAGGGGCAATAAGACCCAATTTCTACAGAGGAAAGGGAGTTTAGAAACTGGAAAAAATGAACTATTTGGTTTTAAGTGCTTGAGTGACCATATTCAAATATTTCATGACCCAGAAATCACTCCTAACATTTCTAAATATGACATAACATCCTATTACAGGACCGAACAAGCAGGTTTTTTTGACAAAGCATTTCTTAATTTTGAGAAAACTAGTTCGAGTGACTCAAAAAGAGACCTTGTTTTGTTTAAATTTTGACGAGTCTTTATCGACTGCACAGTGCGATCTTACAACCATACCCCGCCACAAAGTTGGCCAATTAACCCATTAGCATCTCGTAAAAATCAATTACACACGTGTAGTTGAGTTGAGTCTACTGGTGATCCAAAACTTGAAGAAAATCTACACAATAGACCTAGCCTTTTACACGTAGCTATGGAGGCCCATTTCAGACACAGCCTAAGCCCATCTATGCATGTGCTGACCAGGTCGCTGCACATTGTGCTGGGCTGCTGGACACCTGCATGTGCCTGCACTTGCTGCAGCATTAAGATGATTGTCCACAGTTGGGCTGCAGAAGGAAATATATTTATGTATTGTAAATCAAAGCCAACCGCAGCAAGCCTCACACGGTATATGTACGTATACGGTACAGTGCAGCGTGCCGGGTCTGCCAGCTCGGCTGGCTGGTTGGCCTAGCCATTCACTCACGTGGCACAAAGACAACTGTGTATCGGTAGATCAAACCACATTCACATGAATTTGAGGTCGGGAATTTACTGGAAACATACTGTACATGTAGGGTATTGTTTCAAGGGGCACCACTGCCAGGAAGAATGGGCCACATGGCCAGCTTTGGAAGTGAACAAAGTGGACATTTTC